TAGAATTAGATCTAGATAAGAGCATGTAAGTAGATCACTCATTGACAATTTACAAACTAAAAGAACAAATACCAAAAAAAAAAAAATAAATAAAAAAAAATTTTTTTTTTAATCAATTAAAATTTAAAGAAGAATATAATAAAATTTCTTACAATGTTAAAATACTAATCTTTGCGTAGTGACAAAACTTATGTGTGACAGTGACATAGAAGATTTGCTGGACAAATTTAAAAAACTTGATAGCAGAGTCCGTGTAAAAAACCAAAACGAAAAAGAGTTAGGTTAGGTTAGAGTTAGGAAGCGGCAGTCAACAATGCACTTGCCGCTCAAAAAAGAAGTTTTGATGCATAGATGCAAGATCTGAACCAACGTTTAGGCAGTGTCTGTTGGGGCTCCAGAAGTAGAAAAATACAAGGACGCAGAAATTCTTGCAATGATTAAGTGCAGTGAAACATAAGACATTGTGAAATCTTTGCCGGACTTCAAAGGAAAACATGAGACGTACGTCTCATGGAGGAAAGCGGCACACACCGCCTATAAAGCTTACGAGAAATATGACGGTAGTTCAACACACTACCAGGCTTTAGGTATAATGAGAAACAAGATTAAGGGACCAGCTGACATGGTACTAGCATCATTCGACACGCCCCTGAATTTTAAAGCGATTATAAATCGACTTGATTTTACGTATGCTGACAAACGCCCCATATATTTAATAGAGCAAGAAATGTCGACATTCCAACAGGGAAATTTGACACTCCTACAGTACTACGACAAAGTAAAAAAGAAACTCACCTTATTAACGAACAAAACGATCATGACTTACGACAACACCATAGCTGTCGCACTGAATGAAAAGTATAGAATGTACGCTTTACGAGTGTTAATTTCAAGCAGGACCGAAAGATCTTCCTTCCGCTTTGGCTCTGGCCCAAGAGGTTGAATCTAATCACGAAGGCTACACGTTCGCCAGTAATTATGCTCGAAGTATTGAGGAAAGGGCCCAAAGGAACGAACATAGGCAACAAGCCAGAGACAGAATGCCGGAAGGGGAAAACGGAAAAACCCCCACTTTAGTAAACGACAGGCACCTCCTAACGGACCTCCTCAGAAACAAGAACAACCTCAACCAATGGAAGTAGACAATTCATCAAGGTTTAGACAAGTCATGCACTATCAAAACCAGGGTAATACTAACACTCAGGGACAGGCTGACAAAAGACCAAACAGTGGAACCTCAAGGATTACGGGACCAAAACACCAAAGAATGAATCATTTGACCCAAGATGACTCTCTGCCGGACCCAGACACTTTTGAATACCAGACTGACGCAAACCAAGAGTCAGATGACATTAATGATGACCTTGTAGTGTACGACCAAGGTAATTTTTTAGGCACAACTCCCTGCTACCGAGACAAGCATAAGCTCAAATATTTTACAAGCCAGGGAAGGAAAATTGCGTTGCAGATGCATTGTCAAGACAAGGCATCCACGCTTTGGAGGAAGATGCACAGTCCGATATTGCAACGATACATAGCGAGTTGTCACTACTTACACTGTTGAATCAACAGACAAACCAGTCAACTGCTTTCGAAATCAAATAGTAATAGAAGAAGGTGGACCTGCCTCAGATAGGACTGTTATTATGTTTGGTGAGAAAACTCGTCACCTCATACATTTCTCAAGTACAGAAACGTTAATTCAGAGGGTATGTGACGCGGTCAAGAAGGACGTAGTAAACGCAATTTTCTGTGAACTACCAACACTAGCATTCATTCAACATAAACTAATGGAAACATACCCTACGACGACATTCCGTTATGCAAAACATATGGTACCCGATATTTTGAATAAGGGCGAGCAGAAAGAAATAGTTGTCACAGAGCACAATAGAGCTCATAGGGCCGCCCAAGAAAACGTATAACAGATTCTGCAAGATTATTTTTTCCCAAGATGACCCAACTTGCAAGCGAGGTGGTTGCAAATTGCAGAATTTGTCAAAAAGAGAAGTATGATCGGCACCCTCAGAAGCAGGTACTTGGAGAGACACCTATTCCATTGCGTGTGGGCGAGATATTGCACGTTGACAGATTTTCAACTGACAAGAAATATTTCCTCACTTGTATAGACAAGCTTTCAAAGTTTTCGATTGTCCAGCCTATCGCCTCCAGAACAATAATAGACATACAGTCGGCAATCTTGCGGCTCATGAACTTCTACAAGTACACTAAAACAAGATATTGCGATAACGAACCTTCCATAAAATCAGAAACAATAAAATAACTTCTAATTAATCGATTTAACGTTCAGGTTGTAAACGCACCACCGCTTCATAGTACTTCGAATGGACAGGTAGAGAGATTCCATAGTACTCTTGTTGAAATCGCAAGATGTCTGAGAGCTGAAAGAAATATTGCCGATACAAGTGAACTAATACTTCAGGCAACTATAGAATACAACCGGACAATACATTCAGTTACCGACAAACGACCTATTGATGTGATTCATTCTTCTCCTCTAGAGCTTGACGCAGAAATAAGAGATAAAGTCCTTAAAGCACAGAATATACAAATGCAAAGGTTAAACGAAGTAAGACCAAATAGGAGACTGGGAAATAAACTAACATCCTTGTACAACGAAGAAACGGTGGAAGCAGACTTGGGGACCACAGTCTTGATTAAAGGGAGGGTGGTTCATAAAGATAATATAAGGTAATTATAATATGGGTTTCCTTTCTTACTGGACTATGCTACTTCTTGTCACCATGACAAACGCTAAACTGACTGACTACTCGAACGCGGGCTACACACCAATCATGGACGGAAACACGACAATTTGGAAAGATTTCCAATATTTAAAGCACTCGATTAATCTAACAATGTACGCGGAAATAATGGGTCAAACAGAGAAGTTGAGGAACCATTCTCCTCAATCACACATGAGACAGATACTAGACTCGGACATACGACACACGAGAACATCCTTAGCAACAATAGACATTCACCATCGGCACGCCAGAATTAATAATTAATATTTTAGGCACTGTGTTAAAGGTAGTAGCTGGGACGCCATATAAACACAGAACCCTTATACGAAACTTTGCTCTCAAGAAATAGAATATTAATTTCGGAACTTGAAACTTTAATGTTATCTGTTACACTCACAAAGATTGGAATTATTAACCCAGCAATATTAGACACTAACGATTTAAATAACATAATCAATGAGCGTTCTACGAACATAACCATTACTGACTTGAAGGAAGTAGCCCAAATCAGAGTTATACTAAGTAATAATTTTTTACATTTTCTAATTAAATACCCTAAGCCAAGTTTAATATGTAAGAAGATTCTCTTGTACCCTGTCCAACACAATAACAACATCCTTAACATAGCTGACGAAAACATCTTAGCCGAATGCGGGAATGAAATATTTCGCTGCGCTCACAACAACTTTCTGTAGAAGATTGCCCTATACTACGTGCGCTCAACAACTACACTCTGGTGGCACGGCCCATTGCACCACTCGACCCAGCCATCTCGAGTCATTCACGGTCATCGACGACGGCATCATCATCATCAACGACGAAACAGCGCTTATCACGACTAGTGATAACGAAGTGCAAATTGTAACCGGCACGTTCCTCCTTACCTTCGACGAAAATGTCTTTTTGAATGGTTCTTTATACCGTAACCTGAAGAGTTATGTGAACAAGTCTCCTGGCCCAGCAGCGTCAACGTTGGTCAACATAACAGCCCACCAGGAGATATTAAGCCTACCATACTTACAAAGACTGAGTCTCGAAAACACGCATTACATTAGCGATATCGAGAAGGAACTGATAAAGCAGCCCATAATATCTGGATTGACTGTGACTACCTTTTTGGTTTGTTGCTACGCCTCTTTCAAATTCTACAAGAAGCGTCAGGCGTTTCGAAGTCAACAAGACATCCTGGCTGTCATCGATGGTTATAAGAAGTCCGAGGACGTCCTTCACTTAAGTGGGGGAGGAGTTAACACGACTACTCAGCGACAAAGAAGTTGCCAAATCGACATAGCAGAGCTGGCGTGCAAGATCAGCAACGTCCACGGATATTGCACAACGAAAACCGTCATTGCAGAGTGCAACGCTACGCGATGTAAGCAGCTGATATGCGACACCATGCACGAGGCGCAGTGTCAGCATGTTTGAGGTACAGGGCTAGCTTTAGTTATAAGAAATAATGTTCTTAGCAGTTAGTTGACTTTTGGATATTAAACCGTTCGGAATACACGAGCTCTTGTCTTTTATTAGTGCAACAATGCACTGTGTTAATTGAATAATAAATCCTTAGTCGGTCGAACATAATAATCACCGTCAGGAACTTCTTAATTTATATACTTTGTGGGGTCTCCCACGCCTCCTTTCATTTCATGGTACAGAGTAGAAAAAATATTGTGTTGAAGCCGTACATAAAAATGATATGTGTAATAATTGTATTTATTTAATTAATTAATAAAGATAGTTTGAATTTATTTTTTTTATTTTAGCCTGAAGGCCTTCGATGCGCTGGCTATACATTTTTTATATGTATCAAATTTTGTGATTAAGGATTAATTCTAAGCTACAAATGTTAAAATAAATAAATACATTTTTTTTTTGTTTTATTTAATAATTATCTAATAAATAGTAAATGCCTAATATGATACTGCCAAACTGAGCACTTTTAGTAGAATACATAAATAATAATACAGTTGCACATTATGTAGTTAATTATAATGTAGTCAATACAAATACTAGGTCAACCATACTATATATTTACAAACAAATGTAGATACTACATACATATGTACATATGCATGGTTTTATGAATACATATGTATGTATGCATGTTCATGCATATGATGTAGGCATGTGTGTTGTATGCATGAATGTTTACTATGTTAAACGGGATATATGTATTTAGGTTTGTTTGTGATGTATCAATTTGAAGTACATACATTAGTTTTATAAACTTACCGGTGTAAATTAGGGAAAAGGCTTAACACCAATAATGGAAAGGAATATTGCAAGAGGACTATAATAGCGCTATCTTGTAACGAAGGAGAAAATGCCTTTTCATTTATACATACATATGTACTAACTTGCATAAAACCAATTATTTGATTACCACAGCAATAAAACACTAGAATTTCTTGATACCATTTGGCCGGACAACAGAAATATTTTGTTTCTTGCAGATAGATTGCAATTTCGATAGCTCATGTACTATCTTTATTATCGAATCAACCCCTAAAAATCCATAGCTTCGGTCAGTCTGACAGTGTTACCTATTTATTACCAAAATACATTACATTTTCCGCTTTTTTAAATTTTGTAAACAAATAATGAAATATTTACCAAGTTGATAAAAAACCTTAAAAATATTTCTAAGCGCTTCATGTAAAAATATATATAGCCTTTTTTTTTTGGGTTGGATAAAGTTGTGAATTTTATTACACTCTCGTTCTAGTTAAAAGTTGGAAACACTGGTCCGGAATATAAATTCCAGCGTATGAACGTAAAACAAGAAAGCAATGCTAAAGCCGAGCAGGCTCAACTCTTAAATTCCCTGTACCTCCCACCAAAAAGAAAAAATGCAAAAAAATTGGATAATTAATTTTAAAAAATTATGATAATTAAATTATTTAAAAAAATTAAATACAAATTATTCAATACATACAGCAGCGATTTTATTTATGGCTATAACTTTCTTCAGAATTGACCTATCATGATGAAACTTGGCACACGGGCACATAAGCAACAAACAAAACAACGTTATAATATTTATTGTAAATATGCACTGGCAACTACTATTATGGCTGTGGCTCAGACCAATTGTCTTGCTTCGCCAAACAACAACGAAAATGCGAGATCGAATTAATCGTGTACAAACAGGCTGAACTGCGCGAACGGGCTACATTTACAGACTACTTTGACGAACGCACGCGCAACTACTTCAGCAGCATTTGCAGATCAGTCGCTGCAAATGAGAGCGAGAGCGTTGCCAAATTTCAATGTTAATTGGAGCAAGAGAGTGCTGCACAAGCAGCCGAATTACATGATGTTATGTTACAGTTGTTTTATGCAAACGGCAAACGATAATGTGTAATGAGTTTACGTTACAAGTTAGCAAATGTTAATTCTATTTAGATGACTTCGCTACCGTTGAATCTGTGTTTTTTTGAACAGGCACAACTTGGTAGGTTCTCGTCCTTGACGAGCATAACATCGTTGACACACAATGGGTGCGCAGACATGCTCCACTTGGCACGCTGCTGGAGGAGAGTAAGGTACTCCTCACACCAACGGGCCCAGAACACCTGCTACAACTGGGATACGCGCTGTTACCCATCCAAGCGATTGTAGTTCAGCTTCGTAAGATCGGGCTCGATGATGGTTGCTGAAGGACCACATAGCAGGAAATGGGCAGGCGTCAAGGCATCCAAATCATGGGGGTTCTCTGAAAGTGACAGAATTGGGCATGAATTTATAACTGCTGCTATTTGCGAAACAAGCGTGCGAAGCTCATCAAATTTAAGCAACGTGCTTCCAGCACAGCGATAAAAATGGTGCTTCGCCATCTTCACCGCCGACTCCCACAGTTCACCAAAGTGAGGAGAGCGAGGGGGAATGAAACGCCAATCGATGCCAGCAGCCAGACAAAACTGATGAACTGCTTCCATATGAGAATCACTTAGTACGAGCTGCTTCAATTCCAGTAATTCTTTTTTTGCGCCGACAAAATTAGTAGCATTATCAGACCAAATTTGGCTCTGCTTGCCACGAGTCGATAATGAAACGCTTCAAAGCGCTCAGAAATGAAGCTGTCGACAAATCTTTCACCAGCTCTAAATGCACCGCTTTACTTGTGAAACAAATAAACACGGCTATATAGCACTTGATAGGAGGCCTGGTGCGTACATCTGATTTGTAGAAGGGCTTCAAGACGCTCCCTCAAAAGATATGCAATAATAAAACTCAACGCTAGCATCGCAAAATCCGTGTATCTCCACTTCAGCGTTGGCATTGAGTGCAAATCTCGGAAACGAGAGTCGACGAACGTTTTGAAAGCAGCTGCTTAGCTCAATCTAAGTTGTGTTTCGTTCAAAAGGCAACCTCCCATCCCAAGACAGTTGGTCCTTGCAGAGCTGTTGAAGAAATATCTTGTATTTAGTAATGAATGGCCCAATATCCCAAGCGGATAATAGAAACAGGCTATAGTAGACAACACGGAGCGTCTGCAAGGCTTCAGAATTGCTTCTGAAGGTGGTCGGATGCAGGATCCCAAGCATTGCCAAGCGCCTTGGTTATATTGCTGCCGTCATATTTTTCCTTGTCTTCTTCACCTACTCCCGTGAGGAATTCTAGATGGCTAGAGCACCATTTTCTCATCTTAAAGTCGCCAAGAAGCAGAATACCGGCTGTCTGATGCATTTTATCTCTAGCTTCAGCGATTGAGTTACCTCCAGAAATAAAATCGTCTACATAAAACTCTTGTTGCAGAGCAGCTGAGCCAACAGGGAATGAGTCCTGCTCATCGAGAGCAAGCTGATGCATTGCACGAATGGATAAAAAAGATGCCGCCTTCGTGCCATATGTGACGGTATCCAATTTGTAAATTTCCATCTCCTTCTGAGGAGAATCTCTCCACAATATACATTAAAGATAGTTGTCTGTAGTGTCTACTGCAGTCCTCCTTAACGACGCAGTGATGCGGATGAAAGTACTTACGCAAGGCAACGGACCCAGGACAGACCAAAGACATATGCTGTATCAATAGCGAAGCTAGGCTGACTATCCGTGATCGTAGGCGCAACAAGAGCTGAGAACCTGGTGACGTATTTCGAGGTTCGAGATTTAAGGCAGATATGGACAGCATTTCAATCAGTTGACACGCTTGTGTCGCCAAGGCCTGAGACGGTAGCTGAAGATCTTGTTTTCTTTAGCCCCAATTCCTTGTGGCACAGAGAAGGAGACAAATTTTTTAATCTACTGCATGAGTAAATTCCATGCCTCATTGCTGTGCAAAACAGACAGCTATCTTGGTTAGTTTGAGCAGCAACGAAAGCCTTTCTGCAGTGGTTAGTACTTTGGTTTGGTTTTCCCACCTGAATGCTTGGCGTATTGGTTGCCATAGCGATTTGTACATTTTTTAATCTTCGGCATCGCTTTTCCAAATAGTCATATAACTCCGAAACAGACGGTATCTGGTCCACTGACGTTGCCTCTTCCCAACTGGTCTGAGTTGCAGCGTCGAGCTTTTGAAGCAGAATGCACACAATCATACAGCCTGAGATTTGCTCCGAATTACCCAACGTTTGCAAAGCGCGCATGTGCGAGTTCACCTTGTCCGAAAATTCACGAAGTTTTGCAGCAGACGAGGAATCTACCCTCTTGAGGCCAAGAATCTCCTTTATGTGTGCCTGGAAAACAAGACGTTTGTTACTAAAACGCTTAGATAAAATATCCAGTGCCACACGATAATTGGCACTAGAGAATTCAAGCGATCTCACTGCTCCTAGTGCTGGGCCTATCAGGCATGACCGTAAATGCTGAAGTTTTTCAATATCAGTCAGGTCGGCATCTTTGTCGATGACTGAATTGAACATTGCAATGAAGTTCGCGTATTCCGTATATCCACCAGAAAAAGAAGGAAGCTTTATTTCTGGCAGACGTGGACTACTTGCCATGATCACGGCTTGGCTTACAGATTCTTCCAGACGGCCAAGCGTAGAATGGGCAGGCAAATGAGACTGTCGGCGACGAATGTTCTCACGCACGCGAACATCTAATGCGTCTACCAACAAATTAAATTTATTTCGCGACGGACTTCCAATTTGATCGTGATACAGTTCAACCAGTGATCTATGTGCGCCCTTGAACTCTAATTTGGACTCGTCTATGCGATGTTGCAGTACTTCCAGGTCGTCGATGGTGCAACGATTTAATCGTTCATCAGTGTAGACCAGATTAAGATTTTTCATCTCCTCCATCATTGCATATACTTTGCGCTTCAAAAAGACCACCCTGTTGGGCCCTGATACGTCAACTTGCACTTCATCCACCATTTTGACAAAGGGAAAGCCCTAAAACAACAACACGTAATTGTTCGATAAAACCGCTATGTCTTTGCGCGGGCACTGATGACAATGAACGGTAAACCAAAAGCAATTGTTTTGCGCGGCCGTTAGCATACACGTACGTATGCTAGCGCAACGAATTTGACGAACTGCAAGCAACGATTCTTGTACGTGCAGCGTCCACTATGCATGTACATATGTCTGTAATGCTCAAATGCTTAGCACTTCCTTTTATTCCACGCCTTTGATACTCACAAGATTCATATTCAAAAAACACATAAGGATAATTGTTGAACTGTACAATTGAATACATACACTAACATATAGGTACGTATGTACATTCATATGAGGATAGATAGCGCCTGCACCAAAAAATAAAATGTACATATGTATGTACATATCAGCGTTGCCAGACGTCCCGATTTTGGCGGGACATCCCGATTTTTAAATCAAAATTATATATTCCGCGCGGGACAGGCTCAGTCCCGCTTTTCGGGAATAACTCGACCATGCGTGCAGCGTTCGGAGGAGTTGCACTTATAAGTGAGGACTGTATGTATGTCGATGTTAAATTTTACAGTGAAACTACTAGCCCTCAATGTCACAATCTATATACAAGTATTTATGCATGTGTCCTTATGTATGAATGTATTTTATGTAGATACATGTTTGTATGTTTAAAAAAAAGTTTGTATAATATATCTGCTTTTTGAACCCATTTTTTGCATTGGGGCTTTATTGGTTCACGAAAAAAATTGTATGTGCAATAGTAATGGGATCTTAAATCTAGTAATACATTAAGAAAGGAATATAATGTGATATAAGATTTAGCGAGTATACAATGTGCAATATTAAGTCTAATATAATAGGGATTAAGAAATACAATTATAGTTGATTGTGACGCATCGGGATTCTACGTCGTCGTCGTCGTTGCTTGCTTACTTATCTAGTTCTCGCTGGGTTGATCCTTAGGGTTGTTGGTAGC